GGGGGCCACCCCTGGCTGCAGGTGCTCTGGAAGGAACGGAGCCCTGGGCACGCCGGGGTCCTGGGAGGGGCCCTTCTCCGGCTGGCCGGCTTACCAGATGGGTTTAGTCCACGGACAGCGTGGAAGACACCCAGTCCCCAGCTCTGCTCCCTGTGCCCCTGTTCTCCTGGCCGAGCCCGCTTCTCCCTGACCCAGCAGGGTTTACTCTGCTCCGTCCAGGTCTCTGCTCAGAGCATCCTCTCTGCCCCTCGGTCCACCTTCCCTCTTCCCCGGCATTTACTCTCTCTGACGCTCTGCTTCTGTTTCTGTTCCTGGGTCTATGGTCTGGGCTCCAGCCACATGAATGCCAGTTCTGTGCAAGTCAGGACTTTGTTTGTTCCTTTCGGTGTCACCAGCGCCTAGAACTGTGGCTGCCCATGGCTGGTGTTCACTGGGCATCTGTTGAACGTGCGATGAACCCCCTGTTGCCCATGGAAGGCCCAGTGAATGCAGTCGGGGAGCAGACACGGAGGCCAAGCTGCCGACACGGGGCCATCCAGCAGTCTCCGTGGGCACCTGCTGGGTCTGGGTGTTTTCCTTTCCCACCTGTGCAGGGAGACACGTGCTTCCTAAGAGCCAGTGTATAGAGCATGGGGACGGGCCCAGAGACCCAGGTGTGGTCCTGCTGGGAGAGCAGCCCAGTTACTTAACATCAAGTTGAAGAAACAAACAGATGCTTTCTGGTCCCGGGAGCTTCAAGTTTAGTGTAGAGTGGGACAGCTATGACTGCGGCGTGCAGAGAGGGGGTAGCAGGGGGCCTGGAGGTGAGGGGGTGTGCAGGTGCAGCCCTGCCCTAGGGCAAGGGCGGTTTACCGTTAGCGCTGGCCCAGGGGTCCCAGAGGTGTGAGGGGTCTGGATCAGGCGGAACTTATATACACACTGCAGGTGTTTTGGGGTGGAGGAGCCCTGTTAGAAATCAGTGATGGGCGGAGCAGGTGTCACCACGGTAAGGCTGGCGTATATACACAGGTGTGCGCACACATGAGCAGGGTGCTGCCTGCTGTACACAGGTGTATGTGTCATGTTGGACTGGGCTCTTCCTGTAGGGTGTCTTCTTGCTTTGGTGAAGAGCGGGTTCCCTGGCACTTCATGTTAGCCGGGTAGGGCCCACCGGCAGTCTTGTTCATTGACTTCCTCCACTCTGGCCCATGCGGGCTAACGGCTTCTGGCCCCGCTGACCAGTGGCCGTTTCCTTGTGAGCTGCTCAGAGCCAAGGGCCAAGTGCCACCTGCCGATTGATCTTGGAACTGCAGCACTGCTGCTGGGGCTGCTTCATTGATTCAGCACGTGTTTTGGAAGGCAGCCTATGTCCAAGCAGAGTTGGACCCTGGGGAGATAGCAGTGGCCCACACAGACAGCATCTGTGTCAGAGATTTCCCATGTACGGGGGACTTATTGCACACAACGAAGCGGTGTTAGGTTTATGCCAAGCATGGCAGTAGGTGTCTGGAATGCAGCAGTGACCAGGGCAGATTCAGCTCCTGCACTGATGAGAGGTACTACAGTCCTCAGGGGACTTGTCAAGTCAGTGCTTCCCAGCCTGCAGTGTTTCTGGATCACCTTCTACCTTCAGAATGTTTTTCTCTGCCTTTTCCCTCTTATTCTGTTATTATTTTTCTTTACATTTATATTTGGTTAAGATAACAGGATTTTGTATTTTATCTATTTTAAAGTATATTATGTTTTACAAACACACAGAAAGGCACTGGAAATAGAATAACTCGCAGCCCAGCTTTATCAAGCCTTAATATTTGCTTCCATTTTTTAAATTGAAATTTCTTCTATATATTTGCTTCCTTCTTACCAGAGTGAACCATTCTTAGGATTTAATTAATTTCAATGTATTTTTGCACTATTACTACTGATGCATGCAGTCGTGAAATACACAATACGGCCATGCGCAGTGGCTCATGGCTATAATCCCAACGCTTTGGAAGGCCAAGGTGAGAGGATTGCCTGTGCTCACGGGTTCAAGAACAGCCTGAGCAACTTGGTGTGACCTCATCTCTACAATAAATAAATAAATAAATAAATTAGTTGGGTGTGGTGGTGCATGGTTGTAGTTCCAGCTACTTGGAAGACTGAGGAGGAAGGATCACCTGAGCCCAGCGGGTCGAGGCTGCGATGGCCATGAACGTGCCACTGCCCTCTAGCCTGGGCGACAGAGTGAGACTCCAACTCAAAGAAAGAAAGAAAGAAAGAAATACAAAGTATTGTTTCTGCATATTTATTTAAGTCAGAGTCTCACTCTGTTGCCCAGGCTGGAGTGCAGTGGCGTGCTCATGGCCACCACAGCCTTGATCTGCTGGGCTCAGGCGATCCTTCCTACCTCAGCCTTCCAAGTAGCTGGAACCACAGGCACATGCCACCATGCCTGGTTAATTTTTCTTGATTTATTGTAGAGATAAGGTCTCGCCATGTTACCCAGGCTGGTCTTGAATTCATGGGCTCAGCCAGTCCCTCTCACCTCGGCCTCCCAGATTGCTGGGATTATAGGCGTGAGCCACCGCCCAGCCTCTGCATATTTTAAACTTAGATAACTGATAAGACATTGCATTATCCTCTGCAACTTGTTTTTTTCTTTCCCACTCCTCATTGGAATTTGAGGTTTGATCATATTACTACAACTAGCCTAAGCTTACTCATTTTAACTGTTGTGTGTTAGTCCTTTGTCTGAATAATACCACAGTTTATTTATCCATCCTCCTGTTTTTGGACATTTAGATGAATTACATTTCTTTGCTATTGCAAACAGTGCTTGGCTCATTTTCCTCCACAAATAAATTCATAACCAAAAGGAAACTTTGTATCATTATCATAAGTTGAAGGCGGTACCGCTTGTCATAGAGGAATGTAATTGTAGGACAACTGAAGAGAAAACAAAATGTTCCTAAGCTCTAGTCAGACATCATTTCTTGTGTCAGGAAGCTCAGGCCTGGGCAAGTTCTCTGTGGAAAAGGGGACCAGGGAGTGAAGAGGGGACACCTGCCTTCGAGCAGAGACTTTTTCCCCTGACCTAACCAGGTGAAAAGGATGACAGAAAAGGGGGTCACTTCCTCGCGAGGGACTTGATTGTTGAATGTTGTGGTCCTGGAACCTAAAACTCCCTTTCCTATCCTCAGTGTAGAAAACACTGGACTAAGTAAAACAAAGGAGTATGAGCGTGCCAGGTGCTGTGTTAGACTCTAGAGGCACATTGCAGACGGAGGCTGGGAGGCTGGCGGATGCCAGGGGAGGCTTCACATCAAGGAGGTATCATTTGACCTGGAAATCTTGAGGTATGCAAAGGATTCAGTGACAGAAGAGAGGGAAGGTGCTCCAGGCAGAATGAGCAGCTTAGGCGAAGGCATCGGTGTGACTTCTGTGGTGCCATTGTGTCCTCGGAAGACACAGCCTTGGTGTGGATGGGTGTGGCAGGGGCATTTGACTGCGCAGGCGGTAGGCGCTGGAGGCCGGGCGGCCTTGAAGAGGCCAGTGGAGGGCGGTGTAGAGTTTTTAACAAAGAAAAACCTTTCCTAGTGTGGTCGGATTTGTCCCAGGCGGAACAACAGTGGTCCCAGGCAGTTGGCCGGATGCGTCCCCCGCAGTGATGCTGGACCTTGGGCTGATTGCTGAGCAGCGTCGCCTGGAAGATTGGGCTCCGGCGGCCTCTGAGAGGCCTCCAGGGGTCAGAGCTGTTGTCATTTGTGACCCGGCTATTCAGGCTTATGTGCCCTCTCTGCCGGCTGGAGCCCACAGTCTGGACAATTCCCCATTGGTCACCTCCTTGGGCCTGCACCCAAGACTTTAAGATGGGCTTAGGAGGGACCCCCAGAGGCTCTTGGGTCCCTGCCTCTCTCCTGAGTGCTCTCCCTGTTCCCCCGGGCCTCTGCCTAGTGGCTATTGACCACGGCTGGTCCTCACAGAGGGCTTGACGACCCCGAGGTTCCACCAGACAGTTGCAAAGCCATCCTGAGGGCAGCAGACATCAGCTGGCTCAGAGACCTCTCTCTCTGTCTGTGCTGCCTGGGTGCTGAAGGTCCTTGTTCTTAGGAAATTCCCAGGGCATGCCGTCTGTTTCCTTTCAGAGACTTCCCAGCCCCCAGGAGGCCTGGTCCTCCCTACAAGGGGCAGTGACTCGAAGATGGGGGTGGTTTTTCCTCCCAGCAGGGCACACACCAGAAGCCTCGGGTTTGAGCAGTGGCCCCTTCCCCGTACCCCAGCGGCAGGGGCTCCGGTCACCCTGCCAGGAGGACTTCATGGAGCTGGGAACCGAGCTCCTGAAGGTGTGGCCCAAAGAGGCCACCAGGTGGCCCAAATGGCACAGCTCCTGGCTGGTGGGACATTTTGGGAGCTCCCTGGGAGGCAGGCGATGCCCCATAACTTTGGGCCAAAGGGCCAGGAATAGGCCTCCTCTTTTTCAAGCTGCAGGAATGTATTTTGAATTCTTTGTAAGGCTCCAGCAACCACACAAGCTTTGGGGTCCACTCAAATGTCAAACAAACTCTAAGTGGGACCAGATGTCGCCATGCTGGCCACAGAGATCACAGGGACGGCCGCCTGCTCTGTCCCTTGCCTCTCCCGCCTCCCTCCCTCTCCCACCAACCCTTTGGTTTTGGCGAGAGCTGGGCCAACACTTTCTGATGATGAGGGTCTCCTGAAGCCAGAGCTGGTCCAGCCTGGGCCAAGGAGTCCATCCCAGAGGTTCCTGGGAGGAGCCTTCCAGGGCGTGCTGCCCAGATGGAGAGTCGGGGCAGGGTGGAGCCCACCCGGTGCCTGGAAGCGGTTCGGGAGCCGAGTGGGTATCTGTGGGGTGCTCTCAGGCCAGTACCAGGGAGCAGCTGGTCCCCCCAAGGAGGCTCCATTCACCTCCCCAGACAGAAGGTGTGCCTGCCCCGCAGAGGCAGTAAGACCCATGTCCCCAGCCCCTCCTGCCCACCAGCTGCCGCTGATAAGCCCCTCCTGAGGGGACATTGTAGAGCCGCGTTGCCCCAGGCTCCCACTCCGCTCGACCGGGGATGCTTGTGTTGGCAGGTCACATCGCAGGACCTTGAGATGGTTTTATGCGTGTCTTCCAGCTTCCCTGGGACAGTCAGCATGTGTAGGGCCGACTGGCAGCTGTTGACCCCGACCAGCTTGTGTAGGGCAGGGACCGTGGCATCCATTTTTTGATAAGAGGCCTTGTAGAGTGGGAGCAGGGCTTGGAGTTGGGCCAACCCAGGTTTGAATTGGGCTCCAGCACCTACCTGCTGTGTGGCGTTGGCAAGTTACCACACCTCTCTGAGTGGGCTTGTCGATCGTCTTAGATCACTGTAACTGCTGCCCCTGGGGGACTGCCAGAGCAGGCAGGTGTCTTGTCTCCGGTGTACAGAGGGAGAGAGTGAGGCTTCCCAAGGGCAGGTGGAGAGTGTCAGAGTCAGGATCCAATTAACTCAGGTTTGCACGATCCCACCCAGCCTTCCCAGCTGCTCCGTGTGCTCTGGGCGCACCTGTGGGAGGTGGCACTGACGGAGGGGCTCTGAAAGTCCCAGCTCCAGGCCTCCTCGTGCTGACCCTGTTTTGGTGACCCACAGGAGGAACGTCTGCGGGGGACAGTGCTGCCCGGGATGGACGACGGCAAATAGCACCAACCACTGCATCAAACGTGAGTGCCCCCGGCCCCAGGCGGGCCAGGCCCAGGGACTCCAGAGCCGAGAGCAGAGGCGCCGCTGCCTCCCAAGACGCAGCCCCTCTGGGGAGGCGTCTGCAGTGGAAGCAGGGAGATGCTCCGTCAGTCCTGGTCAAGTCTCCAAAGTCCTGCTACCTCCAGGTCGCTGCCCGCCCTGCCAGGTTGCAGACCCCACACACTCGCGCATTTGCAGGATGTGCCAGCCTGGAACTCCTGCTGCCCACATTTCCAGGGGTGCCATCATGGAGTCTGTGCCCTGCCCTGGCCAGCCCCACAGCCTGGGCTCTCAGACCCTCTGTGGGATGCTCAGCTGCTCTGCCCGGGTCTGGGGCAGTCTTCCTATGGGCTGCGCTGAAGCCCATGGGGAACTCAGGAGGAAAAAGAGACAAGTGGCAGTCCAGGGGCAGTGGGGCGCCATGGTGAGCCCCCCGCTGGGGACTGAAGGGGCATTAGGACAACAGGAGCTGACATGCTGGGCATGCACCATATGCAAGGCGCATGCAAGTGTCCTCGGGGCAGTCACTGCCCAAGGTCATGTGGTCAGGAAGCGCAGAGCTAGCAGTAGTAGCACCAGTAGTGGTTTCTCTGGGCCTCGCCTTCCACCTGCGCGAACTGGGGATGACGGCATACCACCACTGCTGCTATCACCACTGCTACCACTAGTAGCACGACTGTTATTATAACACCACCGCCCCAACACTACGACTGCCTCTCCTACTACTATTACTACAACCACCATCATTACCACTGCTGCTACCACCACTACCATTCCTACTCCTACCACTACCGCTGCTACTGTTATTACAACCACCTCCACCACTGCTATCCCACCACTGCTATGACTACAAACACCACCACTGCCATTGCTGCCGCTAGTGCTGCCATTACTTCTGCAACTACCACCACCACCACCACCACTAACACTATGACTATGACTATAACCACCACCCCAGTCCCACTACCACCTCTCCTACTATTACTACAACCAGCACCACCACTACCACCACTAATACCACTAGTGCTAGGATTAGCACTAACCACCACCACCACCACCACCACCACTGCTACCACCACTACTACTATTTTCTTTTGAGTCGGAGTCTCACTCTGTCACCCGGGCTGGAGGGCAGCGACACGCTCTTGGCCACCGCAGCCTCGACCCGCAGGGCTCAGGCGATCCTTCCACCTCAGTCTTCCAAGTAGCTGGAAATGCAGGCGTGCGCTACCACGTCCGGCTAATCTTTTTTTCTATTTATTGTAGAGATGCGGTCTCACCAAATGGCTCAGGCTGGTCCTGAACCCCTGGGCTCAGGCATTCCTCTCGCCTCAGCCTCCCAAAGTGGGATTACAGGCTTGAGGCACTGCACCTGGCCCTCACTACTACTACTATTACCACCACCATCCCTGCCACCGCCATTACCATGACCACCACCGCCACTGTCACTACTACTACCACTAGTACTATTATTATAACCACTGCTGCCACCTCTAGTACTGTCACCACCACACTCACCACTACTACTGCCACTACTATTAGCACAACCACCACCTCCATGGCGACCACTAGTTCTGCTCCTGTTACTACAACCACTGCTGCCACACTACTGCTAGTACGACAGCCACCACCACTCCTACAACTACTGCTGTTACAACCACTACCTTCACTACTGCTGCTGCTACTACTGCAGCTATCACCACCACTGCCACTACTAGCACTGCTACCACCATTACTACCAAACGACTGCTCTTACTACCACCATCACCACTACTACTGCCACCACTGCTGCTGCCACTTCTATTACTCTAACCACCAGCACTGCCACTGCCCTTCCTCTGACAATAACTATCCCCACCACCATTGCTTGCACCACTGCTACTGCTGCCACAACTGTGTATTGACTGCCGCCCGACACGATATTAAAGTCTTTGCCTACATTCTCTTAGTTTGAGATAATCTTATGAAGTAGGCCGGGTGTGGTAACGCACGCCTGTGATTCCAGCACTTTGGGAAGTGGAGGCAGGAGGACTGCTTGAGCCTGGGAATTTGAGACCAGCCTGAGCAACAGTGAGATTTTGTCTCTACAAAAAAAGAAAAGAAAAGAAAAATCACCAGGTGTGATGACACACGCCTATAGTCCCAGCTTCTCAGGAGGCTGACAGGGGAGAATCTCTTGAGTCCAGAAGGCAGAGGCTGCAGACAGCTAGGATCACGTCACTGCACTCCAGCCTGGGCAACAGAGTGAGGCTCTGTCTCAAAAAAAAAAAAAAAAAATTCTTATGATGTGGGCATTTACTTATCATCTGGGTTACAAATGAGGAAATTGAGACTGGGGGTTTATTCTGACAGTAGCTCAGGGGTGGGCCTGGCACTGGTGTTCAAGGCACCCTAGGTGATTCTGGCTGCAGCTGAGTCACTGCTCATTATGTGAAGACACTCATAGGAAGATCTGCCTTGAGGTCTCCTCAAATCAGAATGTTCCCATGTACTCTCTGGGATCTCACTAAAGAGCAGACCGATTCGGCAGGTCAGTGGTGGCCTGGGGAGCCCATGCTGCCCTTTGTGTGTGTGTGTGTGTGTGTGTGTGTGTGTGTGTGTGTGTGTGTGTGTGTTTGAGAGAGGGTCTTGCTTGCTGTGATACCCAGGCTGGAGAGCAGTGACACATGATCATGGCTGACCGCAGCCTCAACCACCTGGGCTCAAGTGATCTTCCTGCCTCAGTCTCCTGAGTAGCTGGGATTACAGGTATGTGCCATCATACCTGGTTTTTTGTTTTTTTTTTACTTTTTGAAGATACCAGATCTTGCTATGTTGCTCAGAATGGTTTAGAATTCCTGGGCTCAATCAATCCTCCCGTCTCAGCCTCCGAAAGTGCTGGGACTCTAGGTATGTGCCTCCATGCCTGGCTTCACGGACTGCACTTTGAGAAGTGAGGCCTTCTGGAACTCTGGGGACCCGGGGAGGGATTTGGAGTTGGGGCTGAAGGGAGGGTTGGCGTGTTCTGGAGAGCTCAGCCTCTGATGGGAGGCAGCGCTGGCTGACGGGCTGCTGCTGAGGCCTCAGCTGGACTGGAGCAGAGTAGCTTCCCAGGGGGCAGCTTCTCCCCAGCTGCCTGGGCATGGCCTCGCTCCTGCCCTCCAGCCTTGGAGGTTCTCAGTTTCCCAACTTGCTTGTGATTTTCCAGCATGGCTCCCCGCCAAACCGGAGTTTCGGTCCTGGAAACTCGGGGTTGGGTGAGTCTGCGGATTGTAACAGAACCAGTGTGCGTGTGTGTGCGCGCGCACGCGCTCACGCGCATGGGTGTGTGCCTTAGGGGAGTGCCGCTCCATGATGTGGCCAGCCCACTCCCCTGTGGCTTCTTGCCCCAGTGCCCACCCTGACCCAGGCCTGCAGGCTGGCAGCACCCCTGAAGGGCATGGCCAGGGCCATCAGCCTGTCCTGAGCCACTTGCCCCCGTGCTAATGAGCTGGTCCTAGTGTTGTTTGCTTGTTGTCATTTGGCTGCCAGCGAGCCTGATGAGAACCACGTGGGCTGTGGGCGTTGGCCCTGGATGGTTTCATCCAGGGCCCGTGGAGGGGGGGCTCCTGGACCCATACCCGCCGCCTGGCTCCGAGTCCCCCTCTCCTCTCCCCACTGCTGCCCCCCTGGCTGGGTGGAGACCGCCAGTGCCGGGGAATGTTCATGACCGTGCTAGCAGTTTCCCACATGTGGGGGTGCTGCCTGTGCCAGCAGAAGAGGGGGCTGCCGCCCTCTCCCCAAGAATCAAGTCTAGTCTCAGAGCCATGTGAACCTTGGTCTCCCCCTTGGTCTCAGATACCTGAGTCCCAGCCAGCGCCCGACTATCACAAGATCCACCCAGGTTGCTGGAGCCCACCAGCCCTTCTCCCTGGCCTGACCGCTCCCTGTCCAGCGAGGTTCCTCAAGAGCCCCAGCTCCTCCTTCACCATAGCCCGGAGCTGGGCCCCCTGGTTTTCTGCCCTTGGTGTCTGCCTTTGCTCCATGCCTGGCCAGCTCTCCATTGGGACTGATGTGATTGTGCATTTGTTGAGGCATCTGATTGGACCTAAGGCTGCAGGGTATGGAGTGACAGTGTCCTATTTACAGTGGACACTTCTGGCAAGCCGTCCAATCTTCCCAGAGTGGCTCACCCATCCCCACCCCAGTTTGGAAGGGGGATTTGAGGCAGCTTAGACTTTTCATTCTGTCTCATCCTGAATGTGCAGGGGCTGGGCGGCTCTGGGAGGCAGAAGAGAATCCCTGCTGCTGCTGACCAGAGGACCAGGTGGATGACTGTCCCCCATCCTTGCGCCAAGCAGTGTGGTTCAAGGTGAAGAGTGTGTGCTCTGACTGCACCAGGTCCAGGTTGATGTATGTGAATCTGGCCCTGTGACCCTCTTCCAGCCTCCTCTGTAAAATGGGCGTAACAATCTATATGGAGTTGGTTTTGAGGATTAATGATAATAACACTCTCTAGCACTTACTCTGTGTCCGGTACTATTCTAGGCACTTTATGTGATTAATTTTTCATCCTCACAACAATCCTAGAAGCCAAATGTGGTTTTTATCCCCATTTGCAGTTGAGGGTAGTTATTTGTCCAAGTCATGCCAGGGACCAGCAGAGTCCAGATGAGAGCCAGGTAGCCGGGCTCCAAGAGCTGGTACTTAACTCTGTCCTCACAGCTAAGTGAAAACCTGCATGTGGGCAGTCCAGCCCGGGCAGGCTTGGCTAGTGTTTTGGTGCTAGAACAGAAGACCAAGCTTCCCATGTCTCCGTTTCCTCTTTTGTAAGCTGTGACCAACATCAGTCACTGCCTCCCAGAGCTGTAAGGAACACATGAGGTAACCTAGGTCAAATGTTCAGTTCAAGGTCTGGCATGTGCTCTGTGCAAGTTTGGCCTTGATTTGAGGGTAGGGACTGTCTCCGCCCCCAGAATGCAGCACACTGGGCGTGAGGTGAAGGCTTGGTTAGAACGCACTG